TGTGTGTGTGTTCGTGCACGCTATGTTGTTGCTGATTTTGTGTAGCAGGAGTAGCTATAATCTGTCGGGTAATGTCTACAGTGAAGCTGCAATGACGAGCAAACGAACAGGATATAGAAAGACACTTTGCCCAGTGTGCGTCATTGTATAAAGCCCCCGCCAAAATAGACATCAGCGAGAAGTGAAGCGACTGACAACTGAATATACTGAGAGAAACGCAACTGCAACGATTTGCAAGAGAAGGGGAAAAATCAGCGACAACGAGAAAGTAGTTTTGTCAAGCAGAGTACGACAAAATAAAAAAAAACTCGCTATGCTGGTGGTGGGGTGTTTACATTGGTAATTAAAAGTAGGTGCTAAATAAATGTTAAATGTTTGGGGAGCTAAACTAGATATTATAAGTGGGAAGGAGTAAAATTCGTATTTCAAAGTGGGTGGCTTAAAAAGATGCAAAAATTAAGAATGTTCTAAATCAGATATGAAATGTTTAATTCATCGATTGATTTGTCTTTTTACGTCTTATCAAACTTTTTTTTTTTTTACTGATAAAAGTTCTACTGATTAATCCATAACTGGAGGGAGAAGATGTGGATTCATACATGTGCCAGGTTTATTTTCGCGTAATTGAATATAAAGAACCCGACTGGAATTGGAATTCGGCTCCCCAATTTTCAATTCCGAGCTGTTAGCCATTACCCCACCCACACATCCAAGATTACTGCACCTGATGTTCCGAAGCACCCATCCATCTAGGTATCGCCCACTCTCGACGTTGCTTAACTTTGATGATCCTACGAGAACCGGTGTTTCAACGAGATATGGCCGTAATTCCTATTAAATGCGTATGGGGGCGAAATAATATATAAATGTGGGAGGAGGCTAAATCAGTAATTAAAACAAAATGTTAAATCTGGGGAGACGAAGTCGGATGTAAAAAATGAAAGGGGAATAAATCAGATGTTAAATCTCGGGGTGGGGAAGTAAAAAAGATCTTAAAATTAGGAGGGAACTTTATCAGATGTTAAAAGAGTCTGAATTAAATTAGATGTTAAATGTTGGGGTGGAGGTGTGGGGTTAAATGCGATCTGAAAATTGGAAGTGGAGGCATAATCATATGTTTAAAGTGGTGGGACTAAATCAGATATAAAGTTTGGGGTTTAAAAGTTTTCTTATTGAATAACTTTTTTTTTTATCTGAAGCTCTCAGAAAATGAATATTTTTAAATCTATTATCTAACTGTAAACTTTGGGTTTTGATTTTAAATAAACCTTTCGTTTTTAGTTATTCTCCTGTAAGAGATCTATTTTCCGCGGGTAATACGTGTATAAAAGATTTAGAAGTAAATGTTTTTTTGGGGAAAAAAACGGAAAATGAAGTTTTCTTATTTATTTTTGAAAATTAATGGTAGAAATAATATTAGACAAATGCTCATTGTAGTAGAGACTTTGTAATCGCAGATACAACTATAGTAACGCCGTTGAACAATACTGGTGTCAGACGCCTTCGAATAGCACTCGTACCAATAGTACTTGCTCGATAATACTCGCTCGAATAGTAACCACTAAATAGTAATCCGAATAGAGAAATAGTATAGTGAATAGTGTATATATAGAGAGAGGATAGCGTAGAAAGAGTGATCCGTATAGTAATAGATAATAGAGTAGAAACAGTGAGATATTCACTAATCAACCCACGCGATCGGATGCGACACAAGGCCAAGTTTATACAAGGCTCGGCCAAAAATTCCCCGTAGACCCCGTAAAAACGGGGTCGGGTAACTGCCACCCGAAATGAGACTCTGCCCTTCGACAAACCCTTGTCGAGGGATCCTCTCTGTCCGGAAGCAGAGAGTTTGACCAACACAGCTGGAGACGAATCTCAAAATGCAGTATATCTACCAACCGCCCTACGCAGTCAGATGTGGCACAAGGCCGAATATAATGTGGGGTAACCGAGCCCGTAGGCCCGGGCAAAATTTCCCCGTAGATCCCGTATAAAACGAGGTCGAGTAGCTGTTTCCCGAGACGAGACTCTGCCCTACGACATAGCCTCGTCTGGGGATCCTCAATGTCCGGAGGCAGAGAGTTTGACCAGCACACTTCCGAAGGAATCCGTACTGAGATCAGAATAGTAGAATGAATAGTACAGAAATAGAGGATAGTGTAGAAAGAGTGAGATATTCAACTACCGCCCCAAGCGGTCGGATGCGGCACAAGGCCAAGTTTATTGTGGAGTAACCGAGCCCGTAGGCCCGGACAAAATTTCCCCATAGACCCCATATAAAACGAGGTCGAATAGCTGCTCAACTTAATATCAGAACTGAGTGAATATAACAAACCTGTTCCAAATACGAGCCGTTATCTATCAAATTATCCGAACACCCAAACTTATAAGACGCGTTATTCCCAAGTGGTCACCCACCTAGGTACTAACCAAGCTTGACGATACTTAACTTCAGTGATCATACGAGAACCGGTGTTTCAACATGACATGGCCGTAAGCCGTTTGTTCTGGAAGGAAGCAGTTTCTTAAGAGCTCTCGAAATGCAAGCGACGTGGAGTGAAAGATAATTCAGCTGAAACGTTGGCGCCAACTTGCCGCAACTAGAGATTGCTTATCCCGAACAATTATGGAATTGGTGGAAAGTCACATAAGACTATTTTGATGTTTTGTTGAATAAAACCTTTTCACAAAAATGGCAGAAACCTGGCTCTCAATTCAACCGGGTCATTTTTTTTTTCTTCTTTTTCTTTGCATGATTGTATTTGCATGTTATCGGTGAATCGGATTCGGACTACATCAATTTCGTTGGTTTCACGCTAATCATATCTGGTTGGTTATTTTATTTCTTTTAGCGGCATATCAACACCTCTATGGGTAACATAATGCCGAAATCTAAACATTTTTTTACGCAATTGTATGGCTTCTTGCCCTAAATCCTCACACTGCTGCTACGGCTGGGTTTCAGGTGGAGTTTCTACGACTAAACTGCCTTAAGGAACTTGTGGGCCTGAGCAAGAAAACGAGTTAATCTTCTTGTAGAATTCAAAGGAAAAGTCAAACTAAATGACAATGCAATCAGTTAGATAAACACAGAAAGTTGCAGACTTTATAGGAAAGGTCCGAGAGATCTCCGTTGAACACGAACTGATGAATTCCTCTCTCAAAGGAATAAAGAATGAAGATGTAATTACGCGTTTCGCCTATTTCTAGGCATCTACACACGCACACACACATACACACACATACACACACACACACACACACACACATATATATATAAATGATAGAAATGTAGTTTAAATGTATTTATTAGTAAAAGTGCTCAATATAAAAAATACAGAGGATGTAAATATAAAATATAAAAGCGACGACAATCTATTGAATAAGAGAGTGAGGGGGGAAGAGAGAAAAAAGAGCGAGAGGGAGAAAAGAAAGAAAGCGAGGAGGTAGAGACAGTTAAACGAAATGGCGTAATAACAATCTTAGTTGAAGGGGGATACGTATATATATATATATATATATATATATATATATATATATATATATATAGAGAGAGAGAGAGAGAGAGAGAGAGAGAGAGAGACGGAGGGAGAGGAGTGGGTAGACATAATAAAATCTATTTATTAAAATAATAGTTCACATATATCATGAGGAAGATAATTATTTTGTAAATTGAATGCTTTACATATATATATATATATATGTGTGTGTGTGTGTGTGTGTGTTTGTGTGTGAGTCAGTAGAGAGGACAGTATGAATAGAAGAAAAAGACATGAGGAAATTTTATATTTAATCTTAGCCGACGCCTTTCGTCTATTGACGGACTTTATCAAGACAAAAATTCATTTTGCCTTGATAATGACAGTCAATGTAAGAAATGTGTCGGCTAAAATTAAATACAGTTTTCCTCATGTCGTTTTTCTTCTATTCACGCATATATATTGCTACTCTGACGGCGCCTGATATTCACACATACTCACACATATATATTGCTACTCTGTGGGCGCCTGATATACACACATACACACACACACACATATATTGTTTGTACGCTATTTTTATAGAAACAAATAATTAAGTAAATGCTTTGTTTACAATAAACAAAATTAACAACATTTACTGGACTGAATGTCCTAGAAATTTCATAGAAAATGTGTCCTCCGACAGGAAGCGCCTGATTAGCAAAGGCGAATACCTGTGTCGCTAAATGTTATCGCGCATCAGTCTATATGACTGTTCCGTGTAGGATACGAGTTCGATTCCTGTAGGAGGATACGTGTTTCTTTGATATTTCTCGGACATTCAGGCCAGTTAATACTGTTTATAATAAACAGAACATTTACTTGAATATATCTATCCTCTCTCTCTCTCTCTCTATATATATATATATATATATATATATATATATGCACACACGCTTTGATATGTAATGTATCAATCTGTAATTTTTAGAGGTCTTTTTATAAGACATTATTTCTTATTGCTATAAATTTTTTAGTGGATACAAGTGTTTGAATTAGTATCCCGTTTTTATTATTATTATTATTATTATTATTATTAAACCATGAAATTAATAACGACTGGCCTCAACTGAAAAATCTTACAAAACAAAAATCGTACCTCCAACAGGAATTGAACCTGAAACACTTTTTACCCTCAGAGGAATCAATTTTTAAGACAAAGTATGCCTGTGCCAGCTCAGCAACGAAGGCCTGCCTAAAAGGAGCACTTTGGAATTACCCATTGAAGAAAGAACGTTTTCTCGTTGGGACTTCTACGAATCCATATCTGTTAGCTCCAGTTTCATAACCGAAACACAATTTTGGTGTGAGGAAAAGAGTTCAGATATTTGTCCGTAGTGTCCATTTTCCCAAGCGTTTTCGGTCACTTCTTTAGCCATTTTCAAGGAGGGTTTCCTTTAGACATTGCTAATTTCTCTTCATGTTTGACTGTTCAAGATGTATTTTGTGTTCCTTTTTTATACTAAAAAGGGTTTCAATCTCCCTTGTCTGTCATATTCAAAGAAATATATCTAAAAGGAAGGTTGCATTGCTGCCCAAACATTAATATATATATATATATATATATATATATATATATATATATATATATATATATATATATATTGACCTGGGTTTCACGGTTTTAAGATAATCAGACAAACTCTGATGACTGTCTGATGATGGCAAAAGCGTGAAACCCAGAGTTACAAACTCATATCCATACAATATATATATATATATATATATATATATATATATATATATATATATATATATATATATATATATATACGACACTGATACAGGTAAACAATTAATTGGTGTAGGCTTAATTTTTTCAACGCTTTTGTACGGAACCCATCATTATCATTTTCTTACTTTTTATTCAGTACAATTCATTATCATTATTGGTTCATCTTTTTGCGTTCATCCTTTACTTACATCGGCGCACTTATCAACACCATCACATACACACGACTAGATATGTCTGTAAACCAGGAGCTATTCTTGTATCAATTTCATGCGTTATCTTTAACCGCACAAATTAGTTGCATCATTTATTTATATATTTAACTGGGGGCAATAACATTGAACTCAATTTTTGCTGAACCCTGTAATTTAATCGACTGCCTTGGCCATTGGCACAGCGTTTTGTCTTGCATACCTTCCATTATTATATTCTGCCTGTATTCTAAAATTCTTTTTATTCTTTAATATTTTCCTCTTTAGCCGTAGCGACTTCGTTGTTAGAATTTTTTCCATTCTGGCTTTTTAATGTCTTATATGCATTTTAAGTTACGTCGCCACTCTTTTCCAAGTTCCACTCAGTTTATGAAGTAAATATCATGTTACGAAAAATTATTCTTCTTGTTCCTTCTATGATTTAGTTTTTAATTAATTTTCTTTAAATTGTTTATATATTAAATGGAAACCTAAGAATGCAGAAGGTTACTATATCTATTTAACATGCTGTTGTTTGCTATTATTGTTTTGACTCATCAAGAAAACAAGAGGGTCTCCTTTCGATAAAAAGAGAAAATAGAGCCTTGCCTACTATGACGTCATTTGCAAAGTAGAAAAGCTAGAAAGAACGCGTTTCACAGAAATCGTTTACTGATTTTAGTTAGAATGAAAGGCAAAAACGTTTTGTCTGTCATTCTAACCCGGCAAAATGAGTCATTTATAGGTTTTCCACTTTCTATTTATTTTTTCATATATATATATATATATATATATATATATATATATATATATATATATATATTAAAATAACAGGAAAGAACAATGAAATTTATAATTCAGACGTAGCATTTATTTTTATTTTTAAAAACAGTGCTCGATACAATAGTAAAGCATTTTATAATTATTTTTTTAAATATTACCATCGCAACAGCGAAATTCCCATGTTTCAAAACTGAAACTTCAATTCAAATTCAATTATAAAAATTAAACTTAAAATACAAAGTTCCTTTCCATTATCAAGCGATACTAAGAATAATTTTTCAGAACATAATTCACTTAATTTATAAGTCTTTTTTTATTTTAGTGGTCTTAAAATTTAACATTTAGAAAACTCATGTATCTAATCTATTGTAGCTATCAAGTCGAGGTGGGGGGCTGGGGTATCTGTCCACTGATACAAATAATATATATATATATATATATATATATATATATATATATATAGATAGAGAGAGAGAGAGAGAGAGAGAGAGAGAGAGAAAGAGTACAGATATTTGCCAAATTTAACCTGAGAGACAACCACACGCATGGTCCACCCAGTTAGAATTGAACTTCTGTCGCAGTAATAATGGCTGCCTAATCATTGCTCCATAGTGAGGTACAAATTCTAGGAGTGATACAAATTAATAAATGACGGCATGAAAGTTACTCCCTGTTTTCTAGTGTCGCTTATTATAATATAGAGTTGTGTTTCTAATGGAAAACACCCTAACAAATGATGCCAAGAAATATTCAATTAGTTGTTATAAAACGAACTTGTTGTATACAGGAAATATTAGCCAAAATACATGGTTATTCAATTAAATGGTAGACCACAGCCGGATGGTTCTTTTTGTAAATTCTCGTTGTAGAATCGCCAATAAAAATAAAATAAGTAAAGTATTTGTACCTCTGACTACTTTTTTTACAAATAAATTACGTTTTGAGTTCATTTAGAATAAAATATTAAACAATACACTCGTGTTTTAACGAGACAAGCTATAAAATATCTTACCACTTCGCAGCCCAAAAGATCACCTTTCAAATATAATCCTAAATTTTAAGATGTCTTCTCTTCTTAATTTATTCTTGTCAATTACAGTTGTTTTAGTTGATGTTTTCAGGAACATGAACTCATTGTAAATTAGAGTGCAAATTTATTAACAAAAGAAGTGTTTTATTTTTGTTGTTTTTTTCTTCTGATGTTTCAATAAAATTATTTCCAACATATCCAGATGAGGATTTTTTATAAGAAACCGAGTACGACTTTTCA